TAATAAATTAACAGGCATCCAAATCTCATCAGGATCTTCCATGAATTCTTAGTTAGGTCAGTGAAGACCATGTAAAGATCTTGATATTGATGGGCACTTCTGCAGCTGTCTAGCAACAAAACTCATATTTATTGTACCTCTGCGTGGAGTGTTCTGAAATGACATTGAGATTCAATTAGAATCTCCTCAGCAAGGAAGGCAAGTCTATTGAGGAGAATGCAGGTGAAGATCTTCCCAGACAGGAACCGGAGAGCGATGCCATGATAAATGCTGCAACCCAGTCTATCTCCTTTCTTTGATATGGTAACAATTTTGGCATCTCTTCAGTCACTGGGAATCTGTTTGTGTTTCCAGATTTGCATAATAATGACATGTAGTTGGTGAGAGAGCTTGTTTTCCTATTTCTTATAAATTTCAGCGGGTATTCCATCCGGACTACGTGTTATGTTGTTCTTCATCTACCTAATGGCTTTCAAGGGCTCTTGATAAGTTGTTGGAACTGCAAGGTAGTCTTTAATGGGGTGTTGTGCAATGGCTTTGGTGTTGTCTTCAGCGTTAGAATCTTGGTTCAGGATCTCTTGAAAGTGCTCTTTCCACCATGCATTTATGGTGGAGTTGTCTTTTAAAGAATGCTGTTCTATCCTTGGACCTCAGAGGGAAGACTTCTTAAGTGCTTGACCCACAGATTGCTTTGGTTGCAATGGGGGTAGGGGGTGGGGGAGGGGAGAGAGTACTCTGTAAGACCACGGGAAGTAAATGCCAGTTATGAATGGCTTTGCAGAATTTGGCAGGCCAGTAATTGATTTTTGGGAGGATCGTGGTTGGCAAGAGACTTCTTTCTACCACCGCACAATACAAGTCGACTTGAGAGAGCACAAAACTGACGGGACTCATCAGGATTTCTCACTGACACCATGGCTGTGACTTGAATATGGAGCTGGGTTCCCAAATTTGTTTCCTCTTCATGAAGAATCTCAGTATTTGAAACCTGAATGTTACAAACTGTTGGCACAGACGTGCGTGTCAGAATCATAGAAAGTTAGGGTTGGAAGGGACCTCAGGAGGTCATCTAGTCCAGCCTCCCACTCAAAGCAGGACCATTTCCAACTAGATCATTCCAACCAGGGTTTTGTCTAGCCAGGTCTTAAAAATCTCCAGGGATGGAGATCCCACAACCTCTCTGGGTAGCCTGCTTCAGTGCTTTACTACCCTTCTAGTGAGAGAGTCCTACCCAGCCCTGCACCTGCTGGAGCATGTGTATAACTGCCTGGCTTTTTTAATTGCCTGTGAAGTCTCATACTGTTGATGCTACCAAGTAATATCATGCTTTTCTGAACTGCGTCCAAATTTCTTTCTCCCTCCCTACCTCCTTTTTGGTGTGACAGGGAGTGTCAGTTACCCCCATAGCAGCATCCATCCACTTTTCTTCGGTTCCCCATAGGGTTCACCCTTGATTTCAGGTTCTGCAGAAGGGGAAAGGATAGGCAGAGATCAGTTGTTCAGTATTTAAGTAATAACAGATGTCATATTAATATAATAGGTATTTGATTTCACAGTTTTAAGAAAAGTTACAGTGTCTTATCTGATAATGTGTAGTGATTTTTTTCTTGTGATCAGAACTGCTCAATTGCAGCTTCTACCATTTCCATTTTGTGAAAGCCTACACTTCATCCTTTATAAGATACTTCAGGATCATTCTCAAAGCAAACTCATTTTCCTCCCTGTTATGTGAACCAGTAATGCAAGTTATGCAGTTAGCAAGAAAGTGTTTGCGGGAATGATAAGGAAAACTTGACAAATGAAATAGTCCCTACATGTCAGTTCTGTGGCTACTCCACTAAATAAAAAAATGCTCTCATGCCCAAGTTAAAGATGCAATAAAATAATATAATACCAGAATTTTTCCTTCCTTATTTTAAAAGTGGTGTGCAGGAGATCATGCATAAAAACTTATGTTAAGCATCACAACATGGATCTCTAAAATGAGAAGGGAATACCCAATTTAAGACAGGTTATGCAATATTAATTTGGCATTTTGTCCATCTGCATTGTAGTGCAGATGGTACATTATTACATGACTATGTGCTGTTTTTCCGTAAGACCCTTGCTTCATTCAGCAAACAGAATGGATGGTGGTCACATAGTGAGTGACTCTGGAAGGTTTTTTGTTCTAACGTTACTGTTCAGCATGTGGCTCAAGATCTTATTTGTGGTACACTAAATCAGACCTTGTTTTGAAGAGACAAAATCTCATGAGCAAACCCCTAATTCTGTTGTGTTCATTACTACTGTATATGAGTGCTTCACAAATTAATTGATGTTATGCCATTCTGAGGGAAGGTATTATCCCCATTTCACAGTGCATTTCACAGATGTGAAACTGAGGCTTAGGAGAAATTATGGTCAAAGAATAGTCACAGCTGTTTAGGTACACCTAGGACCTAGGATTTCAGAGCAGCGCACTGTACATTTTCATAGAAAAGCTCCTATTGACTTCAGTTGCATCTGTTAACTGTTTCACATTTCTGCAAAGCAGACACAGTGGTTTCAAGTTGGAAACTAGGAGAGAGGAAACACGCAATAAATGGCCACTTGGGAAAGGTTTGATTTAGGGGACTTGCCTGGTGTTAAATAGGAACTCTGTGATGGCAGAGGCAGGGGCATAATCCAGTTCTCCAAGGCGTTCATTTATCTTAACCAGAAGACCATCCTTTTTCTCCCTGCAGCCCCCTCCTCATTCCTTGCACAGACCTTCCACCATCTGCAGCAAATGAAGCAGGAGTTCTACAGACAGCAACCTCTCTCAGTGCACAGCTCTGATTTATTCCCATAGCAGGACTATTCTGTGCATGGGACAAAATGAAGGTTTTGTGGAAACCATAAAATAGAGAATTAGTTTAAAGGTATAGATAGTAGGGCTGTGTGAAGCTTCGGTAGTTGATTTGATTGGGAGGAAATTCGGCTTGATTCGGGGACCGAATCTTCAAATCGAATTGGGAGACCAATTAAAAGCTGGCAAGTGGCGGCAGCTCAGAGTCCGTGCTCCCAGTGGTGATGTGGGCATGGCAGCACTGGGAGCGGGGGCTCTGGATGAGGGTGTGGTAGCGTTTGGAGTGGGGGCTCTGCCTTGCTGCCACTTCCCCACTTCTGCCTGGAGCGAGCTGCACCTGCACTGTGCCCCCTTCCCCACCCCGCCATGCTGGTTGAGCAAGCAGCAGCAGGGCAAAGCCCCTGCTCCAAGTGCTGCTGTGCTCACATCCCGCCCCTCTCCTCCCCAAGTAACACCCCCCCAACCCGGCTGGGCAACTTGTCCCAACCCCAATCCCTCCCTCCTCCATGACCCTTCCCTCTCCCCTCCACCAACCCCAACACACTTACCATCTGGAGGCAGCTGTGTCAGCTGCCTGTTTGATCTATGTCTGAATCTCTGAAGCAGCGCCAAATCTTTTGGATCTGAATCAGCTGAATTGAATCAGGACAGTGACTCGAATCTCTGAATTGAATCGCTGTCCTCCAAATTGGTCGAATCTGAATCCAAAGCAAATACTTGCCACTTTGCACAGGCCTAATAGATAGATGTGCAAAATATACATAGTTGAAAGTGGTGAGGGTGCTGCGCTTACTGTGCATCAGCTATTTTGTGTATCCATTCCTATTCCATGGTAAGTGAAAGCTAAACTGCAGCAGTTTACTTCTAAATTAAACAGGAATGCGCTACTCTGGTTTAGCTTCCATTTCGCATGAGATAGGAACAAATAAATGAAACTATTACCGTGTAGCCCTATATATGTTATAATCTTCCACTGCCCCCTGCCTTTTAATTTGGTTTAGTTTATCTGTCTGTGCCTACCCTAAAAGTGATTTGTAAAGGGAGCTGAGAAAACTCTTTCACTGTCACCAGTATGGATGTGAATAAGATGCTCCATGTCTGTTTAAAATGTATTTATATTTGATCTTAGGATGATCAATCCTAACCTGGGTCATAGCCTTCTCACTCTGTACTCCTATTGGCAGTCAACCCACTGGTGCTCATAGCCAGCCTGTACACTGTCAGATTAGTGCCATTAGTTTACTACAGTGTCTAGCATTGCCAGGTATTTCAGAATATTACATTAGACCTTTTGCAGTATAAAATACACTCACACATTTTACAAGACTTATGCAGTGTAGCAAGCCAGACATTCCTTCCCATACCACTTTATTCCAAGTTGGCTGGCACAATTTTCTCTAGTGGGATTCCATAGTTGATTAGGCAGTACAAATTAGTGGATATTGTGGGCATGCTCTGAATGGGAGTGAATACAATGTAACATACAGGAGGGAAAAGGCATCTGTTGATCTAATAATTGATCAAATATTTCCATAGTATCCCCGATCCTGACCTCATTATTCAGAGGGAATCCCAGTGATAGCACACTTAAAAAGTAGAATTTTGCTTTCAGGAAGGACTTGATTAGCTCTTTAGTAACATACTCAGAAGATGCAGTTACATACTCTGAAGAGTCCCAGAACGAACCTACTGGACTGACATTCTAAGTACAGTCTAGAATCATGTCGCCCATCAGGATCTTGGTAGGGAGCATCTGGCACCCATTTCTAAAAGGGAAGGAATCGCCATCTTTAGAAGGACATATACTCAGAGAAACTGGGGTTCTGCGGAAAATGTTGGCAATTGAAGAAGAGTGTCAGAAATTACAAAACATGATGTGTCTGAGAATATAGTGCTAAGCTAGTTTAGTATCTTTGAAGGAATACACTGAAGAAGAAATCAATCTGGTATTTCAGCTCAGTGTTTGTCGCAATATCCCAATCCTATTGTTCACATTAGGTAGCTATTGACTTTACTAGAATGATTACAAGGCAAATGACTAGTTAGGTTAAGTTATATCACAAGGATACCAGAATCGTTCTAGAGTCTTGTAATTTTTGCTGAAACTAGACTGGTTTTCATTCCACTTGTTTACTTCCTACGTCTGTATTTTTTTTCTTTTTTGATTTAGACACCAGGACTAGTTTCCAAGCCAGTAGTTGACAGCATTCTCTGTCTGCGTGATCAAAGATGGAAGGAGGTCCGGAGCATGTTGACCCCAACCTTCAGTGCTGCAAAACTGAAAGAGGTAAGATACAGCATGGAAAACTATCTTCTTCTGAAAGTGATCATGTTTTCTCCATTGGGAGCATCTGTCCTTGTAGCCTGCACTTTAAGTGTATGTAAATTAGGGCTGTGCGAAATTTCGCCTGCCATTTCGTTCCGACACTATTTCGACCAATTTCAAGGTCGAAACAGCAAAATCGGAACAAAACAAAGCCGGTTGAAATAGCCCCGAAACAAAACAAGGTTGGTCGAAACCTTTCGACCATAGGCTGGGGATGAGAAGTCAGTCCAGCTGGACTGACTTCCCATCCCCTATGCGAGATCTGGCAACCCCATCTGCTTGATTGTGCCGGGGTGGGAGGTGGCGCAGCTGGGGTGCTTCCTGGAGCCCTGCGCTTGATTGCTTGGGCCTCCCATCTCCGGCACGATCAAGTGCAGGGCCCCAGGAAGCAGCCCAGCTGGGCTGTCTTCCGTCCCCAGAGTGATACAGTGGGGGCACCGGGAAGCAGCCCAGCTGGTCTGACTCTCCACTCCGAGCGAAACTCAAAATGGTGTCAAAACAGCCTTTCTGTTTCAACGGAACAGAACAGCTGTTTCAACTTGAAATGAAATTCGATAAGAAACACTGTTCCCTCGAACCGTTGGAACTCAAGGTGAAACGGAACAGTGCCATTTCGCACAGCCCTAATGTAAATAACCATAAAATTGGTACTTCCAAAGTATTCGATACATGCCACACATGCACAATACGTTTCAGTTCCTCAACTGGTGCTAATCAAATCCAAGAAGAGGTTTTTTTCCCAGTCAACATGGGGGAGGGGAGGAGGTGGGGAGCAGGAACCTTATCTTAGGTTTCAGTACCAGCCTGGGGCACGTGGCATCACAGAACTGGCTTCAGCCCTCGACCCAAGGCTGAAGATGGAGCTGAGACACTACCTGCCGCAGACCAGGGTGGATCATAGAGTAGAGGCGGGAGGATGTAGTAAGGAGATTGTGGGGGAGATCTGCAGTATGCTGCTTGAGGCCGAGTATGGAGGAGATAGCACTGCCTGTCCCCACCCCACTTACCTTCCTGGCCAGGCCTGGAGCTGCTGCTGGGGCTGAGGCCAGTGCCAGGGCTTCTGACTGCCTTGGAGCTTGAGCCAGAGCTGCTGCAGAAAGTAAGCATCAGGGAGCAGCGGGTGGAGGGGCAAACATCAGGATGGACAAGTGTCAGGTGTCAGGCACAGTTATGGGGCAGCAGGCACAGGCATGTGAGGGGCAAGTGGAAGGGGGCAGACAGAGGCATAAGGGGAAAAGATCTAGCCTTTCAGCACCTGCTGCTGCTTTCACCACCACAGCAGTTAGGGGGCGGGGGGCGGAGTTGAATTTAAGAGAACCCTCCAATAATTAGCTTGTATATAAGGAAAATGGTAACACATTTATAATTTTTCATGTATAGAATCTAATTATTAGGGGGACATCTTGAATTCAAATGTGTCTTGGATTTGGGTAAACGTGGTAAGTCCGTTGACTTCAGTAGAGCTATGCCGATTTCAGTTGGCCTTGATCTGATCCTGTAATTTACTCCAGTAAGAAATCAGCTTGCTCGTAAGAATGTAGAAATTAAAAAAAAGAAAAGAAAAAAAACCCCTTTTACTTTCAAGAAGCAGCTGCTCTGATTGACTGAAGTGCAGAAAAGGTTATGGCTCCTAATCAGAACTTAGCTTTTCAGTACTTGCAAAGTCAGCAGCTTTCACTTCAACACACAAACCTTTTCAGCCTTTTTTCATTTCCTTCCCTTTTTATTCTTTAATCCTTTGATATAATAAAATAAGTCACTGGAACAGAATGGCATTGCCCGATAAATACCTCTGGCTGAAAATAAATGTCTCAGCAATGACCTGCTGCTAATTTTCTATAAATGCCCCAGCATTTATCTAGCAGTGGGAGACCATTACCCTGTGACAAAGTTCTAGTCCATTGACACAATATCTCTTAATTAAATGCAGAGTAATGATTGACTGGTTAAATTCTTCTTTTCAAAAAAAAAATCTTCCGCTTTGTATTTATGCTGAAAAAGAAATATTCCTCACTCTGGTGCCCAGTCCTTGCTTGTAAAATTTTCCACTGGGCAAACGCTTGTGTTGTTTTGACATGCCTCTGTCGAAATCCACAGTAACATCTAAATGCGTCTGGCTCCTTTAGCTCTATAGACAGCAGTTGCTTAGCAACACCAGCTGTCACCTCCTTATTATGGTAAATTCTAATTGGCCATAAGCCTGGCAAGGACCGCTGATTAATCAGAACTGACAATATCATTGGTTAAGCACCTAGACATTGACTTTGCCACTCACTTGATAGCAAATTTCATAGACACTGGGATTTTTAAATATTCAAATAATTGTTCAGTAATGGTATGGCTGAAGACAAGAGTTTTGCATTTCCTTAGCTAAAATGAATCTCTCTTACTGCAGGTCATCAACACAGAACAGTTCAGCTTTTTTGCTATTAAACTAACAAAACTTAAAGCCACTCACCCCACGGTTTGTGCAGAGCAACCCCTGCTGGCTTCAGTCAGCCATACTTAGACAGAAAGATTCCTTGGAAATGTTGCTTTGTAGAGGTGCATCTGTGTACCTCTGTGATTCTGTATGGGGGTTTGAGGGTCAATTATTAAGGGGCAGGAATAAGGGGAGAATCCGCGCTCCTTTTGCTGCTTTGGTAGTAGAGCAACACCACTGGAAGAGATGAAAGCAGAGTACAGACTGGCATCTAGTACCTAGCTCATATGTAAAAAATGTGACATTTATTAGCTTTAACCATACTTTCATTTCCAAACTGTTTGTTAACTAGAAAAACCTCACTTATCCTACGCTGCCAGAGACGATGAGGAGAGGAGTGAGTAAAGAATTCTATAAACCCTAAGGAATCAGAGGAGAGTATTCCTGGGAAAACGTTGCCTCTGTTCATGCGTGCGTGCGTGTGTGCGCGCGCGCATGCGTGTGTGTGTGGAATGCCCTTCACCCTTTCCATAAAACATGTTATCTCCTGTTTAGGGGATCCCCACATGTATCTTAAATTAGCTTGTTTAGTTGCATCAGCTTTGTTCAGTATCTATTCTGTTTCTACTGCCTCTGTGCTTGCTTGTTTCCAGTAGAAAATTATGCATCTGGGGGCTGTGTTTTCCTGGTAGGGGTGTTCTTCATTCTCTTAGATGACTGTGTGTGAAATTAAATAACCTTTGAATGTGTATGCTTCTCAGCCCTGTATGTCGTTTTAATGCAGAAAAGTGATGGTCTGTTCAGGGATTTGAATTTAATGTGATTTAACTCCTCCTTCACACACGCCTTTCAACACTGCTTAATTTAGCAGTCATAGCAGGATTTCTCAAAGGAAATCAGTGCTCCTTCATTGTTACCCTCCCTTTTTTTTAAGCATCCTGGATTTAGTGCTTCCTACAGAAAGTATTGCAGGGAAAGACATACTTTTAGTACTGACAGTACTCTGGCAAGGTCTAAATCTCAGAGCCCTTTTATGTAATCAGTCCTGTTGGTGTTTCCATTATAAACTTTTCCATCCTCCAAGGAGTTACTGGCATGCAGTTTTGGCATCTAAAAGCCTAGGCAAATTGCTTCTTTCATTTTCACCACACTAAACCTAAGCATCACAGCTTGGTGTTTTGGAGCTATATCCAGGTTGACCTTGTAGAAGCCTAAACAGGACTTAGGCCCAATTCAGGCACTTAGGTCACAAAGGGCAATCTAGATCAACCCCAATGCAGCAGCTCCAAAACTGCTTAGGTGCCTAGACTAGGGCTACTGTGTGTGCTTAGTGATTCAGCCACATAGATATCTAGGCATCTAACCCTCCTTAATCTCTGTTGTGATCCAGATCATTGTGGGAAATGTCTAGGTTGTGACTAAGTCCCTCATTCCTTAGGTAGAGACAAAGCATGTCTAATATGCTTTCCATGTGAAATAGTTATATGCAGTTCATTCCAAATGCCATGATTGATAGTAATGATGATGTCCATCTTTTTGGTGCAGTAGCTTAATGGGAAATAAAGTGAGATACGTAGGTTCTTGGTTTCTCTCACCTTGAAGGGTTTGAACCTTCATCTCCGACTTGCCAGGACATTACCCATATCAGCATATAAAATAGACTGGCAAGGACACTTTATCCTTCCTATTGAAGCTGGACCTTTTGGCAGCCAGGACTGCATGAGTCATGGGATCAGGTAGAGAGCAAGCAAGAAGGAGCCTGACTGGGTAGGCTAATGGCTAGGGCACCCTTGGGGAGGAAAGTCCTAAATTCCATTCTCTGTGGAAGACCTTGCATTTGTGTCCTGGTATGCCAATAAACTGTCCTGCAGCATTGACAGAGACAGCAAAAATCTCCATTGGTGTTGGGAAGTTGTACATTAATGTTGTAGATTACAGCACCACTCTGAGGAGACCAGCATCTGGCGGCATGCTGTAAGTATGCAAACAGATGTCGCCCTTGTGTCACCATAAAAAAGTTTATGGAGGAACAAGCTGTAAGCAAACAGACATCCTTCCTCCTTTTTGCACTCCACGTGCCCAAAAATGTTGCTCCTACCAAATGTAGCCACAGTTTGTTATTCCTTATAGGGGAGGACACCAGTTTGCTTATTGCATACCCTGAGAATCCTAAAAGGGATTCCCATGGTACCTCACTGCCATGCCCTGTCTTGGGGCACAGCAGCTGGGGTCATTGTCCCACAGGACTGGGCCCCTAACGCCCCAGGAACTGACCCTGCATGACAACAATCCCAGGTAATGACTATAACCACCAGTGAAGCTGATCAGCTGACACACCCTGGCACAGCTGATCCCATTCCACAGATAATATCTTATTTTCTAAGAAAACGGGGAGTGTGCAGCCTCCTACAGGGCAATAGCATAATGACTGCGCTACATACAACAATGTGACTTTTAGACAAATTGCACATGAACCTGTCTTGCTGCCACTAGAATCCTGGTCCTTCTGTTTCAAAAGCACAGACTTCCCATACCAACT